ATTCTGAATAATCGTGACAGTGATCATCAATTCTAACAATTTATGTAACCTTTTACAAATGTCATATATGCATGAAACCAAAATACTTTATCAATCATTTTGATCTCTCTAGAAATGAAGTGTCTTTACATGTTGGTGAACTTATGTGTATTCATGCATATGCAGAGAAATGCAAATAACCGTAACATCTGGTCTCAAATCAGTTTTGGAAGTTCAACATTCTTAAGTTATCAGAATTTTCTCAATGTTCATTAATGAGTAGTCTGAATAATTACTGAACAAGACTAAATTTAAGTGACCTTCAGCAATTAGTATTCTCATAGTTAAATCCAAGGTAGCAAGTTATGTATGAATAGACGGTTTCAGAACCATATCAGTAACCTTCCGAACAATTAAACATCTATTTAAATGTGGTTACAATTTCTTGTATTAAGGGTGCAATTGTTGCAGATTTTGTGCTTGTCACAATGAAGCAATGTGTTGGTCACTGCCTTACTGTGAGACTGTTTTAATGTGTTGTTATATTTGTGTGCAGGGCAAGGGGGACACCACAGGAGGATGTCAGTGTGGAGTCAATGGTGTGAAGTGCCATCCCCGCTGTAATTACTGCCACTAAGAAGTCTTCTCTCCATGTGTGATAATACATTAATGTGATTTGAATTTGCAGTGCCTCAATTTTTTGTATTTTAAATGGTGAATTTTAATATTTTTCATGTTCTAGTCATATACAATGAATCCATTGTTTTTTCTAATTTCGTAATTATAATAATGTCATCCTATAATTATACAGACAAACTGCCTTCAGTGTGACAATAAAGTTAAAAGCATGTTCTTGTTAATTTTCTGTACTTCAAGTAAGTGATGAGGAAAACTGGGTGGTGAATGGGTTTGAAGAAGAATATTTTACAAGTATATGTGTTTTATTCTTATTTCACCTTATCTCTTCAGAAATAACATATTTCAAATCAGGTAACTCAGTATGAATGTTAAATGTGTTAGGTGAATTTGGGAGATTTTGTGTTCACAATTGATAGCAAAGCAGTTATGATGGTAGTTCTAAATGCATTTATCTTGTTTATGTGACATTTAGTACAGTTGTACACTGACATTTTAAGCTACAGATGTACACTTTTGCATTTGATACTGTTTAAGCATTGAGTTTGTTTAGTAGTGGAGATGGCTGTCTTCTGGATTGTAGTGCCATGTGGTCTGGTAGAAGTTCCTCTTGTGTGGCTTGTTTATCACCATGATGGAAGCAGTAGGCATCTCTAAACATCGGTAAACTTCTGCCAGACTACACGGTGCTATAACCCAGACAGCCATCTCCATACTTGCCATCATGAGAACCTCAAATGCTACTTGTCCAATGATATTTTAGGTCTTCAAATGCAGCTAGCTCATTCAATTTTCAATGTCAATTTTCATTACTCACTACTACTCTTATCAAGCTCAGCAGAAATGCAGATCACAAAGTGAATACACATGACAGGAGGAAGCTGAAATGTATGTAGCATAATATACCATCTTACAGTTTTGACCTCCTATACAAATTGTGCAGCTCCAGTACTTTCATTAACATTTATATTATACAAAATCAAGCTAGTGCATAAAAATAAACAAAAGTAGTCAATAAACTAGGTACCCAAAATACTGGGAAACCCATAATGTTCAATGCAGCTCATCCCTGAAAACCAGAGTTATGCAGTGAAATCCACGTTTAAAAACCTAAGGATAAGGACTCGCACGTGCCCTTAATATCCTCAACATAGGTGGATGAGATTAATTCTTTGAAGTGAATGTAAAATTGTCCTTGTTCATTATTTTCCAATTCAATTTAGTTATCACATCTTGAAGAATGTGTGAGAGCTGAATATATTCTGGCAATACTCCTAGTCACTATACTATGATTATCAACAAATTACAGTATATAATAATCATACGATGCATTTATTCTTTGGTATATTGGAATTGTAACGCCACAGTGGTCTAGCAGTTAGAACGCTGGCCTTGTAATCCTGGGGTCTCGGGTTCGATTCCCGGCGGTGCCCGGATTTATAACTTGTGTTGGGCAAGGCCGTGGTGGGCTTCCCTGGTCTCTCCGTGGCATCCCAACAATTACTCTATTCACACACAGAAGAAGGCAATGGCAAACCACTTCCGTATCATCTGCCAAGAACGTATATGAATAGGTCCCAGTCCGAGAAAAGGATGGAAGGATTCTGTTCATATGGACCTGTCGTCAGACAGAACACTAAATAATAATAATATTGGAATTAAGGTTTCAGGACAATATAATACCGACTAAGCTATCGGTACTGGACATTGTTCTCAGTAAACGTAAGAAGGCAGCAGTGTACACGGAAAGGGGGGGGGGTCTGGTTAGTGTAATTTGTTGTTCGGGGAGACCACGTTATACATAATAAACAGGTATGCCAATATTATAACGTTTCGTAACAAGAAAAAGAAACACTAATTGTCCGTGCTTGATATTACATATATAATTAAATAATAGGATAACGAATATTTTTTTACGTATTCTGTTGCCGAATAGCTGTATAAATGAATATTCAGTTGTCAGTTTATTTCCTACCTTGCCTAAGGTGATGACTAGTGGTAAGAACCAGATCAACTGAACGAGTGACAGAGGCCATCTAACCACGTTTGATATTGTGTTCTCGCCACCGGTAAAAGGATGAGGTGGGTAGGGTAAGTGATTTAATAGAGTATTTTTAACCTTTTGTTAAGATTAATACCATAATTTATCAGGATACGAAGCAAGTTTCTTCTACCTGCTTCCCATTTTAATGCTGTGGAGGTTGCAAAATGTATTTCAGTTCCACACTTGTGTGATCGAGTAGAGATGCTCAATTTTATTTATTTGTGGATTATTTATCGACGC